AGATAGATAGATAGATAGATAGATAGATAGATAGATAGATAGATAGAGTAAGAAAGAGGGAGAGGGAGGGAGGGAGGGAGAGAGAGAGAGAGACATCGGGCTATACACCTGATTGCACTTTCAAGTTGAAGGAAGTTTCCAAATCAGATTGGAACATCTAAACAAGGAGATGCCCACAAAATGAGTCAAGTATTTTATAGTTTTTGTGCATGCATCAAATACATTTGTTTGTTTATTAAATGTATCTACCGCCCACCTTGCAATCTGTCAGCTCTAGGCAGTTTACAACAAAGTGAAAAAACAGTGTAAAACATTCAGAAACATAAATATTCACATTGAAAAATAACAAAGATGACAAGGAAGGGAGAAGGATAAGATGTCATCAAAAAAACCTCAATCAAGAAGCCTCATGAATACATGAATATGCCCCTACAGTTGTATTGGCTTGGATGGTTTAAACAAATAGAAGATTTCCTGGTTTGTTACCATAAAAATAATAATGAAGTTTAGCTCTATCTAGCCTTCTTGGATAAGCCAAATGTAACTAGGTGCTGCCACCTAGCTGGCCATCTGCACATAAATATGCATTTGTGTGCATGTATATACATTTATGCGTGTGTACATTTACTTGTACATATGCATAATAAAATTATGCAATTGTATAATAGGCCCATCTGAATATTCCCTCCATAAAAGACATAACTGATCCCCATTCTGCTGAGACACATATTTCTTCCTTCCACCTTTTGACACCTAGCCAATCACCTACCTTTCCAGAAATAAACACGCTGAAAACTGGGGAAGAATTTTTCTGGATCTTCTGCAAGCTCGGAAGCTAAAAAAAAGAAAACACATATTTTTGCTTTCCTTTTCCTGGAGATGGCAGAATAAAAAATAAATAACACAGCTAATCTGTTGATTTTGAAATACAGAGAAATGCAGGATTAAAGACACAAGGTCTGGTCTAAAATGGGGAACCATCATTTGCCTACATGTTCCTGCCAGCCATGTAGAGTTTTATAAGCCACAACTAACACCCTGAATTGGACCTGGAAGCAAACTGGCACCCAACTCAGCTCGTAGAGCAGAGATGTTACATAAACTGTTCTTGTAATATCCAAGATTACTCAAACAGCTGCAGTTTGTATCAACTAAAGCTTCCAGAAATGTTTTAAGGGTAACCCCATGTAAAGTGTGTTGCATAATCCAAATAGGAGATGGCCAGGGCTTGAATGACTTATATAATTATTCACATAAAGACTGAGTGAAACCAGGCTTAACAGCAATAATTGTGAGAGGGATCTTGGAGCCTTAGTAGACAACCAGCTAAATATGAGCCAACAGTGTATGATGTCAGCCAAAAAAGCCAATGCAATCCTAAATTGCATTAACAAAGGGATACAATCAAGATCAAGTGAGGTACTAATACCACTCAATAAAGCCTTAGAAAGACCACAATTAGAGTACTGCACCCAGTTTTGGTCACCACACTATAAAAAAGATGTTGAAACTCTAGAACCATGATGGCGAACCTAGGGCATGTGTGCCACAAGTGGCATGCAGAGCCATTTGTGTCGGCACACGAGCCGCAGGCAAACTTACCTCATTGCACATGCATATACCTCACAATTGATTTTTCTGCTGGTTCGAGGCCTTTTTCGGCTTTCCAGAGGCTTGGAAAAAGCCTCTGCAAGGCTTTTCATGACGAAGAATAGGCCCGTTTCATCACTTCCTGTAATACCAGAGGTGACGAAATGGGCCTATTATTCGTCCTGAAAAGCCTTGCAGAGGCTTTTTCCAAGCCTCTGGGAGATCGAAAAAGGCCTCAAACCAGCAGAAAAATCAGCTGTGAGGTGTGGTGCAGGTAAGAGGGTGGCAGGGGGTGATTGCACGTGCATGCTCAGGGGGTGTGGGGGGGGGGCGTGCATTGCATTCTGGGTGCTGGCACATGAGTGCGCACATGCTAATGGGTGTGAAATTTTTGGCACAGGAGTCCGAAAAGGTTAGCCATCACTACTCTAGAAAGAGTGCAGAGAAGAGCAACCAAGATGATTAGGGGACTGGAGGCTAAAACATATGAAGAATGGTTGCAGGAATGGCTGGGCATGGCTAGTCTAGGGAAGAGAAGGACCAGGGGAGACATGATAGCAGTCTTCCAATATTTGAGGGGCTGCCACAGGAAGGAAGGGGTCAAGCTATTTTCTAAAGCGCTTGTAGGCCAGACAAAGAATAATGGGTGGAAAATGAACAAGGAGAGATTTAACCTGGAAATAAGGAGAAACTTTCTGACAGTGAGAACGATCAATCCATGGAACAGAAGTTGCCTTCAGAAGTTGTGGGAGCTTCATCACTGGAAGCTTTCAAGAAGAGACTGGACTGACATTTATCAGAAATGGTGTAGGGTCTTCTGCTTGGGTGGGGTGGTGGTAGACTAGATGACCTACAAGATCCCTTTCAACTCTGTTAATCTGTTAATTATACCATCCTAGTCAAATGGTTGTCCAATCTATTAACTTACTCACTTACCTCTAGTAAGCACTTGCTCTCCAATTCTGACTGTGTATTGGCTCTTCCCTTCACTGTACTTTGCACGTTGACATATGTCACCTTGTCCGCGGGTTGAGCTTCCATCCCAGTCATTAAGGTTGCAGATCAAAGCGCTTGGAGAACTCAGCAGGCTACATGCAATACTGCCTGGAAGTCAGGAAGAAGAGATTTACAGGGTTCACTTCTGCTTTCTTTGTTGCTGAATCTAATAATACTTTGATCTTGGCAGTGAAAAACTTGGAGAAGTGTTCAATTGACCTTTTCAATAATTCCGCTTTAGAAGTCTTGCTTGGCCTTTCTTGGAAAGTCTAAAATAATTCATTCCATTCAACTCATCTTGGAAACTGCTTGAGAAGATACAGGACAACCCCAATTCTTCTGCAATATCCTCTGTATCACAATTATATCTACAATTTCAGCCAGTCCAAGAGAAGCAGAGACTGAAATATTGTGCAGTTACATAGTCATTCCAAGGAGGATCAAAAAGAGAGAAATGCCCCCTGGGTATATACCATACACTTCAGAGGAACATCCTCTGTTATCACAGAATAGATCTACAACTTCAGTGCAGTCCAAGTGAAGTCGAGTCTAAAATATCGTGCAGTTGCATGGTCATTCCAAGGAGTGTCCAAAAATGCCCAAAATATATGTAACTCACACTCCAATGATTCTCATTCCCTTTGTGTATTTCACTCCAACTTTGATATAATCATAAATGGAAAATTTGTCTATGGGTAAATGGAGCAAAGTATGGTCCATTCACCCCTTATCTAAACTTCTCAATTTGATTCTGAAATCGTGTATCTGTATGTATTTTTAATTAGATCATTTGAAGGAATCGTGAACTTGTAAGAGTATTTTTATTTTTCAATATTTTCTTACTTTGTTCAACTTACATCCTGCCTTTTCTATAATAGAATTATGGTCCTTCTTCTACCACATTTCGACCTCACAACAACACTGAGAAATTCAGATTGATCTAAGATCACCTTGTTGGCTTCACAATCGTGAGGATTTACACTTGTTTCTTCCCAATCCCAGTTTGGCTAGAAAGACGTTTTCAAACCAGTGGTGGGATTCAATTTTTTTTACTACTGGTTCTGTGGGTGGGGCAGGGCTTGAGGGGCGGGGCTTGGTGGGCATGGCAGGGGAAAGTTACTACAAAATCCCCATTCCCTCTCCATCTCACTAACCTGCTTTCCAGCTCCGTTCTTCTGTGCGGGGCAACAAAAGAAGACCCAGCCATTCAGCTGGGACTTGGGAGGTAGAGAATAGATGGGGCGGGGCCAGTCAGAGCTGGTATTTGCCGGTTCTCTGAACTACTCAAAATTTCCGCTACCGGTTCTCCAGAAGTAGTCAGAACCTGATGAATCCCACCTCTGTTGCAAAGTCACCGACATGTTTATAAACATTTAAAAGAACAACAAGAACAAACTCTGATGGAGAAAGAAACTGCAATTCTCCAATTTTTTTTTCAATTACTCTTACATTCCAGAAAGTTTGCACAAAACTTCCTGAATTATAAACTATAACATCTGCAAGCCTAACCATTATCCCTGACTAATAAAATGTCATAAGTTATCGTGTCTTAAAATGTATCACTTGGAGCTTTATCATCTACATTGTTGTAAACTTTAAAAAAAGCTTGATTTCTATTCCAGTGGGCAGAACTCCTAAACCCATGTTGTAAAAGGAGAAGTAACCTTCTCATTCGCAGCTGGAGCCTAAACAATTACCTCCATCAAGTATCAGCTGGCTTAAGATAAAGCCATCACAGCAAGCATCTTGCTGACAGGTTTGGCGGCAGAAGAGATGAACATCTGTCAAAGATGTACCAGATGCTGATATAACCGAAATGCTGTACACGCCAGAAACAACATCCTGGAAATCGGTCTTCTCCAATGTTTTGACTCCCACCATAGTGAATTCTTGTCCTGGAAACAAAGGGGCAACTGTTTCTAATAGTGTACTCCCTTGGTTGGAACAATTTTGTGAGAATGTCCACACAACACACTGTCAAAATTCCAAAAATCCTTTTTTTAAAAAAAGTTACTTGTTCCTGTCTTGGAGTGAGGTAGAACTTTTTAACTGCTCTCTATTGCACACCTAGTCCTCAAGTTATGACATAATGGGGCCTGCCCATCGTGATCGCAACTTGTGATGATTGTACGTGCAAGGGCAGGCTGTAAATCATTTTTTCGAGGCCATCCTAACTTTAAACCATTGTTAAACCAACGGTTGCAAGTCGAGGACTATTTATACTGATATTGTTACTTGCATTGCTCTGTAGGCTTCCTTGCTTCAATGAATTCATTTTTAACCACTGATCTATTTTCACAAACCTATTGTTTGTGAAAAATGTAAGCGCCGTGGTAGCACAGTGGTCAGAGTGCAGTACTGCAGGCTACTTCTGCCGACTGCCTGCAATTTGGCAGTTCGAGTCTCACCAGGCTCAAGGTTGACTCCACCTTCCATCCTTCCTAGGTGGGCAAAATGAGGACCCAGATTCTTGGGGGCAAGGTGCTGAACTCTGTAAACTACTTGGAGAGGGCTGTAAAAGCACTGTGAAGCAGTATATAAGTCTAAGTGCTATTGCTATTCCTACTGATCAGCATCAAACATAGGAAAGCAATGAATCAGGTGGTGACAAGGACTTGGCCAGCTTCAGAAGATCATTTAATGCAAGAGCCCCCAACCTGTGGGCCGCCTAGTGGCCTGTGAGGCATTTGCAACCTGGCCACGAGAAATGGGCGAGCATGTGTGCATGCGCTCCATTTAAGTGAGTGGCAGGCACTCATGCATGCTGCTCGTGCAAATGAGGCTGTGCATGCACGCTTGCTGGCCTCTTACATGGAACCATTCCCTCTCTCCACCCCCAAAGCAGGACATGTTGGAAAACTTGGATCTAGTGGATCTCCAAATCCCACCAATGTCTTGTGGACCTCGACCTGAGCATCACAGCCTTAAAATTGTTTGGTTCTGCAACCCAACAAGACAGAAACAGACTCCAGAGAATAATTAGGACTGCAGAAAAAACAATTACTACCAACCTGCCTTCCAATAGTAATACAAAGTCTGCATTACTATTACTATTAATCTTCTTATCATTCGTATTCACCCATCTCCTCCCACTTATGACTGTATGACTGTAACCTTGTTGCTTGTATCCTAATGATTTTTTTTAAATAAAGTTTTATTTGGGTTTTCACACACACAAAATACAAGTAAAACATCTTTTTTTGAAAATAGCATGGTCCTGGGTTGAACTTCTTTATACAGACACAAACTCAATTTCATGCTCATTTTTGTGTTCTATTCCATATCTTATACTATCCTACATTTTCTATATAGTTTTTCGCCTCTTTTAATTTTCTCAATTTTATCTTGATTATCTCATCTCAATTCAAATCATTATATTTATACTTTTATCTGTTCTGTTTCAATTTCATATTATCTTTTCTCATTAAACAAATTTTCTCCTGTAGTTACTAAATGGAGTATGACACCATTATATCTTTTAATTATATCCATTCAACTCTTATTTAAACTTCAATATATACCTTAAGGTTATGACCTTCAATATAATACATAATACATAACTTCAAATCGAATTCTGTTTGGTACATTCTTATAATACACACTATATTCTTTTTTTTAAAAAGGATTATAAATATATGTAATTATAAACCCTCATTCCATTCCAATTCAGTTCTATCATTAATAATCATTAAAGTCTTAACATCTTTAACATTTCTTTTCAATTAAATATCATACTTCCTTAAAGACACATATAATCTCCATAATTAATTTTTCCCTTATTTCTCTTCACATATGTTTTGTAAATCATTAAATATTCATTTTGTTACATTTATTTATTGACAAGCATTCCATTAAGTTATGATAACTATCTTATTAAACATTTTAATCATACATTGTTTCATATTTTCTGAAATTATTTCTATTTCTAATATAACAATACTATCTTATGTACCTTTGCAGAATCCCTTTTTCCATTAGATTTTCACCTATTATCTCTAAATAGGCCCTCATGATTTTTATCCTAATAATTTTTATTGACTGTTTCCTAGTACGATTCAATTGCTTATTGTACCTTACGATTATTATTAAGTGTTGTACCTTACGATTCTTGATTCTTGACGAATGTATGTTTTCCTTTAGGTACACTGAGAGCATTTACACCAAGACAAATTCCTTGTGTGTCTAATCACACTTGGCCAATAAAGAATTCTATTCTATTCTATTCTATTCTATTCTATTCTATTCTATTCTAT